TAAAGAAACTGGTGGGGTGCTCCTTGTGTCGGGGTGCCAGTTCCCAGGGTGTGGGAAAACTCGCGGCAGAAAGGAAAGGTTGGGCAAGAAGGTGCCTCTGGAAATGCTGTGCCAGCTGATGGATGGTGGCTTTTCTGCTGGTGGTTGCTCTGACACGTTGCTGTGAGTTATGGGAAAGCTGGGTTTTTTTTGAGGAGGGAGGTTTGTCTGGTCTTTGCCTACCCACATCTGCAGGGGACAGCCCAGAATCCGGTGGAAAGGAGCACGATGCTGAGTGAACAAAGCCAAAGGGACTTGATCCAAAAGTAGCTATTGAGTGGCAGCAAGTGAAGAGTGAGCTCAAGGCAGGGGGAGAAGGAGCCTTTGCCTCTAACAAGCTCTTGGTGTGAGCTTGTTAGAAGGAGGAGTCTCCAAGTCGCTCCTGCCCGTTGGCTCCGAGTGGTTTTGCGGGTGGTTCTGGCCACCAGGCACTACGGGCAAGGGAGGGCGATGCTGTCCTTGCCCTTCCTCGTGTGAGTCTGAGGTGCAGCTCTGAGCCATAAACGCGAGCTGTAAATGCAGAATGAGCGACCTCCAGATCTCAGGGGTCCCGGACTGGCCCCTGATCTCCCCGGGAAGTGCACCCAGTAGGCGCCAGCCAAGCTGGGCAGCGGCGGGGGCGCGCGCGCCATCACGCCCCGAGCTCCTCGTCCCTGTCACTTCGAGCCCTAGTCCTCGTGCTTCACCCCTAATGAGGGGACCCGAGAGTACCTCGCAGGGCTGTAGTCTGGATATTTATATGAGCGCAGACATGCAAGTTGTCTGTTTTACATATTGCTGCCCTGATTTTTCAGTGCGCGCAATGAATAATTTACAGAAGCCGTGTGTAAGTATCTCTTTATTATTCATTATAATGAAGTGAGACAGCAGTAATAGTCCACTAGACTGGAATCCCCCAGGGCCGAACTTAACTCGGCCGCGCTTAGCTCTCCCCCAGTTAATTTGAACGGAGGGAGGGCTCAGATTCCCAACAAGGACGATGCCATCCGCCGGCACGAGGCCGCCTCAGTCCTGTGGAGCTGAGCCAGTGCAGCTGTGGGCACCAGGGCATGTCCGATGCCCGGCTGGGCTCCTGGCACGCCAGCAGTGCCACGGCAGGCACGGAGGGCCATCCGTCTTCCCGGGCGTCCGTGGCTGGTGGAGATGTACAGCTCCTGCAAGGGGAAAATCACTTGTTTGGGGGAGGATATATCGCTTGTTCCTGTGAACCGAGCGCCCGGGGGGACCCTCAAACATGCCAAGCGTCGCCCCTTCCCTCCACCCGATTAATAATCTTGATCGAGGTGACACTCCACAAGCCCAGCATGGGAGGCATATAACACCCCCAAAGCCTCTGCAAGAAAGGCGCCATGGCAGGGACGAGGACGGGGACAGCCCGTCTCAGAATTTACAGGCGTGCGGAGAGGGACTCGCATGAGTTTCTTGATTGACTGTAGGTGCCATTTCCCTGAGATCTCAGCTGCACAGGAGAAAGCTCCCCTACCACAGTCCTCAGGTGGGAAAGGTGAAGCTCCCGAGAAACGACGGGCTCTTAATTTAGCCAAACGCCTGGTGGTTTTGCTGCAGGTGCTGTGGCGGTGGCAGAGAAGGCCAGAAATAAGTAGATCGAGAAAAATCTATCCAACAGAATGAAAAAGCTGCGTTCTCTGGGAACATTTTAATTCCCTTTTTTCCCCTCCTTCTGTTCTTTGCTGAGCGTAAGTCAGCGCCGCGGACCGGAGCCGCCGAGCCCTCACGCGTATCGAAGCGGGGAGGGTGGGAGCCAGGCAGGAAATAAATAACGGAAACGACCGTGTTGTGTTTTCGAGGCACTCGTAGGATTTACAGCTGCTTATCCCTTCTCTTCCCCGTGCGCTAACTTCTCCATCTCCGGCTGTTTCTCTTCTTCCCCTCTCCCCGCACCTGTGCCGCAGCCCCTCTGCCCCAGCAGCGGGTGCGTATGTCACCCTGGGGATGGCCCAAGGGCTGCGCTGACAGCCCAACTGTCAGTAAATTTTACAGCTTCATCGGAAATTCTCCGTGCGCAGCGAGGGCGAGGGGAGGGCGGCGGAGGTGAGCGAGCCAGGGGGTGTGGAAAGGCTGCGCGGCTTGTGGAGGTCGAACGTAACGGGATTTTCATCTGCGGTTCCTCAACTCTGTAGAAAAGACAAAGATGGGG